CTATAGTGCGAGAAATCAAACGGAAACGATCGAGTCTTGTGGGGAAAAGTGCGCAAACCTCTGCAGAGTGTAACAAACTAATCATGGTTAGCCGTGTCCCCGGTTATGGACATCTTGAGTATCTAGTACCTGGATTATCATGTGAATCTCAACATGTTACTCTAAATTAATTTTGTGGGGTTTTAATGAAGTTACTTAATTGGGATTGAGAATGCTGTCAACCATTCTCAATGTTTAACAACCACCATGATAGTAATTAATCTTATTCCTTTGAAGTACGGAAAAATTGGCTTTACGCAAAAACAGTAACCATAGAGCTTTTCACCAGCCAAACATGCATATAGTATAGCTGTTGCATTCCATTACTCTCTATGTGTTACCTTGCCAGCATATTCCATGTGCTGACCCGTTTTCGGACTGCAACGTTAATGTTGCAGACTTTTTCAGACGATGATTAAGGAGTTTTTAGGTCGTGGTTCTATACTCAGTGATGCCGTTGGAGTTGATGGACTCACTTATCTTCCAAGCCTTCCGCTGTTATCGTTATTAGATGGCCTTAAGCCATATTTATTGTAATAAGTTCTCTTTTGAGACACTCGATGTAATAAGTGTGTGATTGCTACTCTGCTATAAATCCTCCGAGTACTGTGTGGTGTCAGCATTACTGATCCAGGGATGACACCGGAGCACAGAGATCAGACTGTTTGAGGTCTGGTCGCTACAAAGGGGGAAAGGAAAGGAGGGAAGGGAGAAGGAAAGGGGAGGATTCGACCTCCCCCTTTCCTTCCCCTCCCCCATCTCTTTCCTTCTCCCTCCCACACTTATGGAAGGGGGGAGGCCGACTTGTAGGAGGCGCCCAAGTAGGATTACTCCTACTTGGGGCGCCCCTTGTTGCCGCTCTCCCTCTCCCACCTATATATATATGGGGGGGGGCACCGCTAGAACATATACAACATTGATTCCTAACCGTGTGCCATGCCTCCCTCCACAGTTTACGCCCCCGGTCATATTCACGTAGTGCTTAAGCGAAGCCCTGCGCGGATCACTTCACCATCAACGTCACCACGCCGTCGTGCTGATGAAACTCTCCCTCGACACTTCGCTGGATCAAGAGTTCAAGGGACGTCATCGAGCTGAACGTGTGCAGAATTCAAAGCTGCCGTACATTCGGTGCTTGATCGGTTGGAACGAGAAGAAGTTCGACTACATCAACCGTGTTGTCAAATGCTTCCGCTTTCGGTCTTCGAGGGTACGTGGACACACTCTCCTCCTCTCGTTGCTCTGCATCTCCTAGATAGATTTTCTATGAGCGTAGGAAATTTTTTGAACTTGCATGCTACGTTTCCCAACAGGAACACGAGCACCTCTTGAGGCGATCAGGGCCATCTCCAAATGAAGAGAAGCCGAGCAAGACGAAACAAAAGCTCCAAGATTGTGCCTTCAGGAAGGGTATGATATCGAGTGCCACTACCCCCAATCCAGGGATCGGGGATTACCCGAGAGCATCAAAGGGAACATAGAGGGGCCGTGGCGACGCCTTCAAGAAGGGGACAACACCATAGATGCTGCCGCCGTCGACCTGACTAGGCCAGAATAGGTTTTCACCCCGGCAAGCCCTCTTCACCACCTAGATGTGGTACATAGAGCCACCGCTCGCTGCACACCACCACCCGTCGTCGCACCCCTGACCACCACGCTTCTCGCACGACCATGGCAGCCAGACCACACCCGAGCCACGAGCTCCGCTCACGGGACCCGCGGCTCCCACCGCCAAGGCCGTCACTCCGGCATTCAAGACCTCGATACCACCCCACTCGAGACACACAGCTATGGCGAACGAAGAGATGAGTGGAAAAGACCCCTTTTTACCACTCCTGGGCGGCCTCCAGCCCTTAAAATCCACCCTTGGGTCGGCCAAAACTGGCCGGCACCGTCCCTCCCCATCCCTCCCGGGCAAGGGACGAGCTCCGCGGTGGCACACACCAGTCGAAGGGAGGCAAGGAAGACTCGGCGGTCCACCTACCGGCGGAGTTGTCCCTTAACGGTGGACGACGACTGGGAGAGGACTGCCCTCCAGTGAACGTAGCACACACATGACGAGGGGTTGAAGTGAAAGTCGAAACAGTCCGCTTACAGACGAGCCGACGCCGAAGTAGAAGCCGACCGTCGCCGTGAGCAGAGCTGTCGGGCCACCGTGTAGCCGCCACGCCACCAGTAGGCTACCGCCCATGTGCCGGACCTTCCCGCGCCGCCGTCCATGGCCGGAGCAACAACCACACCAGGCCGCTGCCTAACCTGTGCCTCCCACCCCGATCTTGCTGTCAGATCCGGATGAGCGCGCCGCCACCAGCCCCACATCTACGAAGCCGCCTCCGCACGCACCCATGGAGGCACGAGGAAGACCTCTAGGAGCGGTAGGAGGATCCATCGGCGGCCATCAGGCCATCCGCCGCCCGGATCCGCTCGGACCCGAGCCAGATCGAGCGGCCGCAACGGGCGCCACCACCTCGCAGCCCACTGCGCAGGGCCATGCCGAGGAGCCCTGCGCTCGCGCGCCGCCGCCACCGTAAGCACCGTGCCCCCCTCTCCCACCCACTCCGCTGTGTTTGGATGTGGAGATTGAGGGGTAGAATTGTGTAATTGGGTGCGTGCGTTTGGGTGGTCATAGACATTGGACCGTGATATTGGAAGCAGCCTGGGAACACTTCGCGCGCTCTTCCAGAATTCTTTGCTCTGGCGCTCGGTTTTGGGCTGATTTCGCTCGACCGCCCCAGAAGCGAAAAGGGCTCGCGCGGGACGAGGTGGAGAAGCGGCGGCACGCGGGGGCGCAGGTGAGCCCCGGCCTCGCCCCTCCCCCTCCTTTCCTTCTCCGGCCAGCACCGGCCTCCTCCCTCTCCACATCTCCCATGCAGCACCCCCGGCACCCGCCCCCATCGCCCATGCGGCCCGCCCCCATCTCCCCGGTCGGCCTGCATCTCCGGCCATCCGCCTACGCCCCATCCGGCCAGACCTCTTCCTCCATGCCTCTTTGAACCCGTCCCTCTCACCCGATGCATCTCTCACTGAGATCCCCTGCCTTCTCCCCACCCGATTTGGCCCCTACCTCGTCGCCTGTCACCTCCTCTGTAGCCACCGTCTCTCCCATATATCCCTCTGTCTCATCAAATGATTCAGATCCGATGGCCTCCCCACCATATCTCGACCAGATGTGAATATTGCCATATTGTAAATACACCAGTGCAAGCTATGAACTTCGATACATATTCAGATGCTAACAAATTGTCTCTCATAAATTTGCAGGTTGTTTAGCTGAGGCAGATTCAAGGTTTGTTCATCTATAATTTGTGTTATCCTGTCATATGTGATGTTTGTTTGCTGGTAGAATAAGCAAATAAATTTGCCTTGCCATAATTTGTGCTATCCTGTCATATGTGATGTTTGCCTGCTATCCTTTCATATGTGATGTTTGCTTGCTATCCTCAAATGGTTCAGATGTGGTGTGCCAAGTCAGGGTTTATTAATCTCTGTGATGGAATGATACATAATTTTAGAATGCTTGCTGCACCATGTCTTGGGTTATACTTGTGTGTCTAAATAATATATTATTTTGGAATGCTTGTTGCACCATGGCTTTCTATATTTACTTGTGTAATTGAATGAGGCATGCATGGCTAATTTCTGAAATCTCTACTATTAAAGGGGGATCGAACGTCGTGATGGTTCGACCTCCCCTCGTGGTTCGACACCTCGTTCGATCCCCCCACCTCGTTGGACACGTATCATTGGGCCACCTCCTTCCCACGATCCATCCACGAGACCATGATCGCCTCTCGCGAGAACCGCAACGATCTTTTTACAGCACCTCCCACACTTCCAACCCTCCGGTTTACAAGGGGAAAAACCAAAAAAGAAACAACCCTACCCACGCATGCACGTTTCCTATGCAATCCAGAACTGCCGCTAGACCAGGCAAAATCAACGCACCGGTATGCACACATCCATACATGCACGATCTGCTAGGGCTTCTCCTTATTTCCTAACGACCTGACCATGCATGTTCCTCCTTCCTGGTCATGCTCGCCATCGTGCCAGACGGGAGGCCGCCATGTGCACCGTTTCAATGGTGTTCCTCCTCGAGGAGCGCGTCACTAGCATGACGCGGGCGGGGAAGTGGTGGACGCGCAGGGTTCACGCCTACGTTTGGGGTGGCCATCGCGCTCTACCTCCTGGCCTCTGAACTCACCAGCATCGGTCGCCGCGGCGGCGTTGTCTCTATCGTCTTCATCGAGATGCTCCTGGTGGTCCTCTATAAAGCCCCGAGCCCTGGACAGGGTTGATCGTCGAGGCGGAAGCGGCTGAGGCCCGGAGCCCCCTCGAATCGCCACGACTCATGGAGGAGCAGAAAACAAGCCGGCAATGTGCCTGAGCTAGGGCAGTGGGGGCTGCAATCCAGGTAGTTTTTTTCCTCATCTCTTATGCTCATTTCTCTTTGTGGTCTACAAGGGCGTGCTACGGCTGCGCGTACAGACATGGCCATCGCTCTAGCTACATTCATCCCGGTGCAGGACCGCTCGTCTCGGCATCGCAGAATCGCAGGCGAGGGCGCCGGTGACGGCTGCCAGGTGCTCGTGGGGCTACTGAAGGGCGCGGGCGAGGCACATGGTTGATGCTTGGGACAGCTGCGGAGCGGCGTGCGCGAGTGCAGGGCAGGCAGTAGCCAGGGCGGCGGGAGAGGACCTAGGACACGTTGTGTTCATGTAATCATCTTGTTCGTCTCTCCCTTTTGTTCGTCCTGTGTGACTATGTTTTCCTCTTATATCCTGTAGCTCTAACTATGCTTTCCTCTTGCATCCTGTAGCTTTAAGAACGACTTGTGCAGGTAATTTATTTCTGGTCACCAAAACAAGTTTGTTCTTACACTTTGACGTTCGTATTTGCAAGCAATATATATTCTAGCTGTCCTACAGTTCCTTATTACTTTGATGTTCCCCAGCTGAATTTCATGTTGCATGCAATCCACGCTCATGCAAGCAAGAGCCATTATGCCTTGCCTTCTGCATGCAAATTAAATACTTGGAAGATAGCATCCAAACGTTACGCTGTACGTATACGAATTACCATAACATGACCCGTATAGTAATTGGACTTCATCCGGAATCCGTTTGTATTAGCATATGGACTCTTCTTGCCTATAGCCGATGGAATAGGTTCACGTACATACTCTGTTTTGCTGGCTGGCCTTTCCAAGCTCACATCACGCTCCATGAAAAAAAATTCAGATCACCCAATCACTGCCGTTGATTTATCATAACTCTATCGTTTTAATAATAATATAATAGAAGATTGGTTAAGACGCTTCGATCACCGATCAACCCAGCTAAGTTTGAAAAACAGGCACAGCATGGCTCACATGGAACTGATTGAACACCCGGTAGCAGCAGGTGTTCATTTTTCCGAATGTGTTTGCAGAAACAAAAGAGCGCAATGCGGCAAACGTCGACTCACATTGGTGATCACATACAAAACAGATAATTTCGGTTAGTAAAAGTAATGTTACCATATGCGGCCGGATTGGTGATCATCTCCATGACCCCCTTGTAGACGTCGCAGAAGACGATGTCGGCGCCGGGCAGCTCCGGCCGGAGCGCGTCCAGCTGCGCCTCCACCCTGGCGTTGTACCCCTGGACGAGCTCGTTAGCCTCCTCCACGCACCCGCGGCCGTCCACGAGGTGCAGCCCGTCCCACATCACCCGCGGCGCGCACCCCAGCGGCGGCACCCCCAGCACCGCCACCCTCCTCACGTCCGCCTCGTACAGCTCCTGCACCGCGCGCGCCACGCGGCCGGCCAGGAGGCGGGCGAAGCCGCGGCGGCCGTGCTTGGGCGCCGACGCGTCCGCCTCGGACCCGCGCGCGAGCAGCCGCGCGTACGCGTCGGCGCCGAAGGACACCACGAAGACGGCGCCGGCCGCGGCCGCGGACGCCTCGCCCGGCGTGGCGGCCTCGAGGCGCAGCAGCTGCAGCGTCTCGGCGGCCAGCCGCAGCTGCTGCCCGACGGCGCCCATGCGGAACACCCCGGCTCCGCCGCTCTCGCCCTCCTCGCCGCCGAAGTTGACGCCCATCGCGGCCGCGGCCGCTGAGCCGTTGAGCGTGGAGATGAGCGGCGGTGGCGGGAGCTCCATCTTGGCGGCTGCATGCACGCACGTGATGGTGCGCGAATCAGGAGCGGAGCTGGTGGGGTTCAGTGGAACGGGGGC